AGATTTTTTACTAAATAATTAATTAATATTAAATGTTTAAAAGAAAAGTATAAAAAATATTGAAAATTTTTAATTTTTTAAAAAGTTGAGTCTACCCAATTTAATCTAAGATCTATGTAGGTAAATTATAGAGATATCTTTCTTCAACTTAAAATTTAAAATTATCCGATTCAATAAACTAGAAATCCAAAGTGATCCACTTCAAATTCACTCCACCTAACTTGTCTGTAAGGCCTATAACTCAAGCATAAAAAAGGATTTTATTATATCAAATTTGAGGTTAACGACATAAATAATTCAGTGGTCATCTTTTTTTATTGGAAATAAAAAGTCTTGAATTCGAGTTCGTATGATATGCGGATGAGATGAAATAAGGGATGATAGATGGTTGCCTCCCATTGTACAACTAAGATTAATAAATAAATAAATAAATAAATAAAATTATACCAAATTTGAGGGAGAGGGACAACATTGTTCCAAATCAAAACATAGGGACTACATTTCTCTTTTCTAAAAATACAATGATCAGAGATGGTAGTTTTTCCTTTGGCTTTAATTTTAAAAATAGTGTTTATAATTCGATTGAAATTTCAGTGTCGATTGTGAACACCCAACACCAAGAATCCTTTAATCACTGATCTATCTTCTCCTTGAGCTTTCAAACGGCGTCGTGCTTGTGCTTCTCTGGGTATCAGCACCAAAGAGGGAGGTGAATTAAGATGAAAAATTCGGATGGAAAATATGGCATGCATTGAGAGGAAAGGATGCTGCTTTCTTATTAGATATATTTCGATTTAGAGGTGAAATGCTTATGGTAATGTGTTGCTATTAGTTCTGCTAATATTGGTATAGATATGGTTGAATTTTCAGTTTAGTGTGTGCACACCAACTGTTCGACTATTTGTCCCAATGAACTTCTCAATTTCCTTCAAAATGCAAAGGAGATCAATGATAAGTTTGCGCCAATTTTGTAGATATGATTCTATGCACAAAAAAGACCCCTTTGACGGGGTGTCTTCCATCCCATGTCAAAATTCAGGCTCTATGTGGATTCCTGTGAAGCAGAAATCAAGTGGAGGAAGGAGGCCTAAGAAGAAAATCTACCACAGGGATTATGAACTTGATAGAGTAATGGACTTACAAAAGAAGCCATCTTTGATACTGCAGCTCAAGTCCATTATCCAATCCCAAAAGCAACAATGTCTCCTTCTAAGGGACCTTGAAAAGGAAGTTGGGTTTGTGCAGAAATGGAACTTCATGGCGGTCATTGAGAAGTACCCTTCAATATTCCGTGTTGGTGGTGGTAGCAGAGAACCCCCTTTTGTCACACTTACCCAGAAGGCCGAAAAGATTGCCAGTGAAGAGGCTGAAGCAAGGCGGTTAATGGAGCCTATTTTGGTTAAGAATCTAAGGAAGTTGTTGATGTTGTCCATTGACTGTAGAGTGCCACTAGAAAGGATTGAATTCATTGGGCATGAGCTGGGTTTACCTCAGGATTTCAAGACATCGTTAATTCCAAAATACCCAGATTTCTTTTCAGTGAAAGTTGTTAATGGTAAAGCTTGCCTTAATTTAGAAAATTGGGATTCTTCACTAGCAGTGACTGCTCGTGAGGAGAGATTAGCAGATGAAGGTGTTTATGATTCAAATGGTAAACGCAAGAAGGTTAGGATTACAAAAGACGGTAACTACTTGGGTCCATTTGCATTTAAAATGTCTTTTGCTGCTGGTTTTAGACCAAATAACAGTTATCTTGAGCACCTTGAGAGCTGGCAGAAAATGGAATTCCCTTCCCCATACTTGAATGCTAGGAGATTTGAAGTTGCAGATCCAAAAGCTCGAAAAAGAGTGGTTGCTGTGCTTCATGAACTTCTTAGTTTAACTATGGAAAAGAGGATGACATCCGCACAATTAGACGCATTTCATTCAGAATATCTCTTACCATCTAGGTTACTACTCTGTTTGATAAAGCATCATGGTATATTCTACATCACAAATAAAGGCGCAAGGAGCACTGTGTTTCTTAAAGAAGCTTATGATGGTTCCATTTTGAGGGATAAATGCCCCCTGTTATTGTTTAATAGTAGATTTGTTGCGCTGAGTGGTAGAAAAGAGATTGATTCATGTAGTGGAATACCTTCTTCATATGGCTTCAGCTGAAAACTTGATTTTGTTACATTAATGATATAAAAAATGGATTATTTATGTTGTTTTTTATGAGATTGTCACCGCCTGTATGATGACCAGGAACATTTAATTGCTGATTGATTCTCTTGAATATTATTTATCTGGTTATTTATTTATTTGAGCTAGAAAAATTTTCAATTGTTAGTAAATAATATTAGAAATCAATCTTGCTTGGTTGTTTGATATTATTAATCTATTTATTTGTTTTCGTGATGCAGCATTTCTTTTCTGTTTTGTTTCATAAGATAATGGAATCATCAAAAGGAGCAATTCAACGGGCAAAATATTCAGAGCATTACTTGAGAAACAATGATAGTTTTATAGACATGGTATCACTTTGATGACTACATAGTTATGAATCTTGTGATGGTCTACTTAGATTATTAATCATTGAAAGTTGAAACTGACAAATGTTTCAATCAAATATTCGAGTAAAAGAAAAGCTTGGGAGGCAAGACTTTGTTTGTTTTGAGGAATTGTTTTTCAATATAGCTGTTAATTACTTAATTTTGCTTGTTGCATATTGGGAAAAGAAGAACCAAAAGGAGAAGGGGGTATCTTCTAAATTCAAGTGGTAAGAATATTAAACAGTTGGGGACATTCCTCTCTTATGTGTTGCATACAATCGACAAATATCTAAAGGTTGCTGATTTCTTTTATGCAATAAACTAATGAAGTTTGTTCAGATTAGGGATGGGCCAATTTTATTTCTGTGTTATGTCTCTAAAACACTTACATGCTTGCATATCTATTTGTTTTTATGATAAGCTGAATGTTTACCATTTCAAAAGGATAGAAGAATGGGAGAATACATATTAAACGTTTCACTAACAATGTTTGGAATGATGATCTAAGGGAATTTGAATTGAAACAGAAAGTAGAAGGCCTTGATTTTTTACTTTTTATTTTCTGGGAGGGGGGGTCGGGAGTGTGGGTTGTCACTAAATGAGATGGTGATTAGTAGCCCTGATGGATGAAACAATGGTATTCAAGTATACAAAGATATTCTTCAAGCACTTAGGATTCAGCTTTCTTTCAAGTTCTTTCAAAAACAGAAAGCTGGGAGAATGTATCCATCTCCATTCAATGGGAACAAGACTGTTCCAAGTATCATAGATCTGATTTTTCCTTGCACTAGGTGGTTGCTTATGCGCTTCCTTCAGTCAAGCATGCCTAATCTACTTTTCTGCATATTTCAGTTAGGCGCTTACTGGAAGTACCTTAGTTCTTTGTACACTTAGGCACTTACATACTTGTGTCTATGGTTTTGATAAGCCATATGTATAATATTTCAAACGTTAAGAGAAAAACTGATTGATATATTACTTTTTTTACCTTGAGAGCATATGTGATGGAATATATTACTTCGCTAAAGATGTCTGGTTTTGCTCAAACTAAGGGAATTTGATTTGAAACAGAAAATAGGAGCCTCGGTGGATGAAACAGTATTCTATTCAGGTATTTAATGAGCAACAGATATTCTTCAGGCCCTTACGATTTTGTGTTCTTCCTAGTTCTAGTGGAAAGTGAGAATCTGGCAGAATGTACGCATAGCTGATGCATGCTTGTGTCCAAAAAGAAGTATAGATGATGCATGTGGATGTATAGATATATCCACCTTGTGAACTAATTACAAAATTTAATATCAAGGTTGAGTGGAGAATTAGCATACATGCTGGGATTAAATTCCTATATATCAAGGAAAGATTTCAGTTCTGTTTTTGGATTAGAGAATATATTTTTTCTATGTTTTTGTTTTAAGGTTATCCATCTCCATTTGATAGGAATGAAACTGTTCTCCAAATCTCATAGATCTGATTTCCCCTTGCATAAAATGGGGCTCATGCTTTAAGGAAAATGCCTATGAAAGAATAGAACATTTTGTTGAGGGTGAAGCACCAATTAAAAGGTTAGGAGTATCTTATCCTGCCAAAATCATGAACTGCATGTTTTCTGCATGGTTTATCTTCTTGTGCAACCTTTAGAAAAGAAACTTTAGCTTCCGCTTCTCAGCCCCCACGCCCATAGAATTGAAGAGACATAGTGCCAATTGACTGGCTAAACATCCATGTATACCGATAAGTCACAAGTGTATGGTTGAATTTCTAAGTGGTTCATGTTTCTAGTCAGATAAGTTGTAATAGCCACAAGTTCTCCAATGCTCATGCAATTCCTTTCTTTATCCCAATGTGCCTAATCAATTTTTTTTTTTTTTGCAGAAAGGAACTGCCTTCCACCTTGAGCAGATCCCTGGATTGAACAGAAAGATATATTGTAACTCAAATGAGGGAAAAGGATTCTTTTTTTCTCATTATTTTAATTTAATGTTGGGTCCAGAGTTGAACTCTAATTCTTCTTCATCATCAAATAGAATATTTGAAACCGAACTATGTCTTTATACAAATGCATTATGCAATGAGGTGTCAACCAGATTATGGAGAAATAGTCTTCCTTTATCGTTACAGAATCCATTTGGGATGGGCATATTGTGAGGATCAAAAGAGCTAGCCATAGTGGGGATTTTATTTAGTACTATAATCTATTATATTTCCCAGTTGTCAAAGACAATCATATATGTGTAAAAAGGTCTAAACCTATGGAAGAAAAAGACAAGATAGCATTAGGTTTGACAAAAGGAAGAAGTTAGTTACAAATTATAGTAACTCATGGAAAATTTCACAAGCACTAAGATTCACACTTTCTAAAGCATTGTTGAAACATAATAAACTTTATGTGTCAAACTGAACTAGATAAGGTAAAGCCAAGTGTTCAGAAATGTTGTTTAAGATACATTTAAGCAACCTATAATATTAATTTATTAATATTTGGTCTAACATCATATATCCCATTTCACTTGATGCTAAACTTATAACAAATTGAAGAATTAATTTTATCCCTTATTTCTCTTTATCATTTAGGAATATTTGAAGCTGAAGTTTGAACAATAAATTTTGAACGTACAAGTTATTTCAGTTTCTTGAGTCACACTACAGGTTTGGTTGGAAGGTCAAGCATACAACTTTTTTAATGGAAAATGATTTTCATATATTGTACATCAATACAGCCTATGCAATGAAAACATCACACCGACAGCCAAGTTGTTTTATGTCGATGCATTGTCATGTTAACATGCTTAAACATTGTTAATTTTGTCTTTTAGTCAAACTGTCAAACATTGCACTCATATCAGTTTCTTTTTTTGAAATGCTAAACAAGAGAGGATCCACTGCCTGAAAAATCAAAAGCCATGCGTGGGAGAATATAGTTTTCCCATGAATCCAAAAATTTATCCCAGAATGTGAAAAACGTAGAATAAATGGAGCTCATAGTTTACATTTTGTTAAAAGACAGATTATAGCTGATTGTATGGCTTAAAATCATGGTACAAAAATTTGTTAGAGTTAAAAATTCACTGATGCATTATAATCATGGTGGAAAGTTAGCTGCATGAGTTGGACAGATTGTCTTCATCTTTAGAAGAAAAAGAAAAAAAAGAGACTTTTTATATATGCATTTATATCTACCAGAATAATAAATCAGCCTTAATTATTAGAAAATTGATCTGTGTCTACTAGTCTGAATAATTTGTTTAGGAAAGGGTCCAGCCCTCATGTAGTGTTCTCCACAGGGAAAGGAGTGGGGACAGGTCTAGCCTGTTCTATCATTGTCCATCATTCCATTACATGACCAAGAGCCAAGGTTGATTGTTTCATGTCAGTTATGGATTAATCAGGATAGATGATAATAACAGTTCAAAGTGGATCCCATTCAGAGGCCCATCGTATGAACTGAGTCCTGTTCTGTTATATCACATGGCCCAGAGGTTTTTGTCAGAATTATGAGCTTTGAAATGACAACATGAAAATCACAGATTATAGAACTGTTAGTGGTGTTAATATCAGTAGGTTATGGTAATAAACACATTAAATTGGAGAGATGGTAATCTTTTGATCCTCCATTTATCAATCTATACTATAAAAGATGTTAGTTTCTTTCTACCTTACTAGACAAGATAGTGTGGTCCACAGTTCAAAGGAAATTATACCTCATGTATAAGAAGTAGGGAAAATACTCCCACATTATTGATTTTTTTGGTAAATACTCCACATTATTGATAGTTAGGGGTGATTGTAGCTTATTACTAGCGGTTAACCATTTCCTCCAAAGGGGCTCTCTTGAGGACAAAACAGTAAGAGACCTACGGTGGAGTTGAAGAGCACAACTGATCTGGTAGGCACAGCCTAAAGGTTTAATATGTTCGGTGCATCTTCTTGTTTTTAAGCAGTTGGAAGGTAACCTTGTGTCCATTTATGATTTTTCTAGAATTGATAACAGTTTCACTAATAGTTGCAATAATTTTTATGCATTTAATATGAAGTCTCTTGAAACAATGATGGTTGTTGTGGAGTGGGAAGAATAGTGGTGCTGGATGCTCTTCGTTGGGCCTGCATCAAGTCATGCTGAAAATCTATCGAGAAAAAGTTCTTAAAATCTTCACATTTCTTCTTTCTTAAAGTTTCAAAATTCAAACTGTTTCTAGAAATCAGTTTCCAGAAACAGAGAACCAAAAATAATAAAAAAAAAAAAGAAGCTCATAGTGATTCCTATTTCTTGGCCCTAGCAAAAGTTGATTTTATTGGCATCTTCTGTTAGTTGATAAAGCACCAAAATTCCGCCCCAGTCTTGCAAAAAGTTAAAGAATGCAAGTGGCATGCATTCACATTTTGAAATTGCCATGAACCTAGCTACATTCTAGCATCTTATTTGATTGGAAATGATCAAAGATGTTACAATTGGTGCAATATCTCTTTTGATTTTGCATTGATACCTCCACTAACATTTCCATCTATGATTTGATTAGACTAATAATAGTGCTCTTAAAGTAGAAGCAGTTAGTCAAGTTCACATCTGGGGAGTGTTTGAACACTTCATGCAACCTTTTTACTAGTCTGTCCATAAACAGAATAGCTTGGTGCATTTCTGAAACATGATTGCATGTACAAAATAATACCCTTGTTCAAAATCTTTTTAAATTTATATGCAGAGGAATAGCATGTTCAGTGTCATAATCAGCCATC